ACAAACTTATCGAACCGGTAATATTTGTTCGGACCATTTTTTGCCAGATGTCCCAGAATTTATGAAAACAGCTGTAAAGTTGTTTTGATTCGGCATGATAAACTTTCGATTTTGGACATGATCACTTCCAAAATCGAAAGCTTATCATATCAGTATATAATTATCAAATTATTATCTAATAATAATTAAAAAAGTTCTTGTGACTGTCATCCCAACAAGCCGCGCTTTCTATCTCAAATTACCTAAGCATGACCCGTCGTTCTAACAAGTCTTCTTCAGAGGGAGAGGGGGGACTAGAAAAGCCAAGCTACTTAAAATTACTTTGTTTGAAAAATCCGTTAATTTATCTCCTTCTAACACTTGTCCTTTCTATTAACATATCCATGAATGTTATTACAATAGTTAATTATTGCCGTATCGCAGGCTGTCTATTCTTTAGCAAGTTCTCGCGACTATCTTACAGCTGTTTTCATTCATTCTGGAACAGCTGATAAAAAAATTGACCGAATTAATTATATACCGACTCGTTAAAGTGTTTGATTCGACTTGATAAGTAAGCTATTGATTTGGATGTGATCACGTCCAAAATTAAAAGCTTATTAGGTCGAATCGAAAACTTTAACGAGTCGGTATATAATTATTCGGTCAATTTTTATCAGCTTCAGAATAAATGAAAATAGCTGTAATTACCTAAGCATGACTGCGTAAAATCGAGTTGCCGTCCCCTAAAAAAACTAATTACTGTAACGTTAAATTCTAATACTTAACTGCTAATTTTTACTTGTGACTTTACAATTACCTCAGCTGACCGTCCTTTCTCATTGAGTTTTGACTGCTATCCTGATAAGTCACTTTTATAATTGTCTAGAGTCATAACTGTCGACCCAATAGGTCATCTCTTCTATGAATCCCGTCACAACAGGCCATCTTTCTAAGATTACAAAAATATGAATTATGTTCCTCATTTCTGAGAGTTTGGTATAACATAATGAAAAACCAAAGTCGGGATTAGCAGAGAAAATAGTAATTTGAGAAAAAAACACATTCCTCTTAAATCTGCTCTAACAATTATCGAGAATATTACATAGGTGGGTCACTATATAATGCGCATAACAAGCAGCATAAATATATAATTACACATAAACATTTACCCTCTGTACCCGATTCGAGACAAAATGCTGTTCCGATACTTTAGTGTCGGAACAGCTTATTAAAATTTGCTACACCATGATCAAAGAGAACTTTAAAGACTTGATAGCTGCAATAATTATTTATGTACTGCATATCGATGTTTGATCATCATACTTTAAATGCGTTTAAGGTTATCTGATGATTTAAAACATTTTAATAACGTAATTATACATGCGTATTTGTTTACAATTTATGATCATGAAAAAAAAAAGTCTTGAAAAAATATGATTATACATTTAATCTTTTCTCTCTCTTCTCACTTAATCTTACAATTTCTCTTATTTATCTAATCAAAATCAATCAAATCCATTTCAATCAAATTCTTTATATTTTTATCATGAAAGATTCCTCCGTCATCGGTGTACCATAATTCCAATTTATTCTTTTTTGAATGATAATTAAAAGCTGTTTCAAGTTCATGAGGTGTTGATATAGTAATAAATTCTCCAACCTCATCTTTATATTTGAAGTTTTTTATGTTATGCACATTTATTGCTGATTCAATGCTGTTTTTAATCTCTTTGTATGATTGAAGTTTTTTGAATAAAAAAATTCTGGTATCGTTACCAGTATGTAGTTTTATGATATAGTGTTCCTATAATAATATAGAGTACAATCCAATAATAATCAATAATATATAAAATTCAATAATAATAATTAAAGAATTGTAATGTGTGATAATATTGTATTGTAAAAAAAAGAACCTACACTGACATTAAGCGGATTATGATTAAATGCCCATCTAGACCCCCAAGAAGGTGTGGTACGAATTCCATGGTTTGACATTTGATTAATCAGATAATCAATATGCAATCCTGCGATATCAATTTCCTTTTCCGTAACATCTTGATGAACAACCAAGGTAATGGAACTGGCCTTATCTATAAACAGAAAATTTGAATCAGAATTTTTTTTTTTTTCTTTTTTTTTTTTTTTTTTTCCCAAATTTTTTTTTTTTTTTTTTTTAAATTAAATTTTTTTGAATCACACTTCTTCTTCCACGTTTGTTGCTTTATTACCAAGTTGACTCCCTAATCCTGATCTAATTGGTATAGGAATAGGCAAACTTGGTGGAATTATTAATTTAACTGAAATTATCTAGAATCACACTTCTTCTGCCACGTGTGTAGCTTTCTTCCCAAATAAATTCAACCTATAAATTATATTAAAATAAAATAAAAATAAAATATGAAAAAAATGTTTACCGAATTATCAAGTCAATAACTTTTTTAAAAAAATACACTATTTTTTATTTTATTTATTTATTTTATTTAATAATGACCAAAAGTTTATTATCTTCTTTGAAAATTAATCTCATAATTTTTTCTTGAACTTTTTCAATTCCCTTTAAAGCCTGCAACGGAATACAAATCTGACAATTCTGCACAAGGTATAAAATAATCTTTGCTTCTAAATATTTATACCGAAATTTTGGTGGTCCATATCTTTTTAAAGGTTTGTTATCACCGTTCGCGTTATTTGAATTACTGGAATTAGAATTACTGAAGTTAGAATTGCTAGTATAATTTTCTTCATATTTTTCAAAACTGTTCACATTTTTTTCTTCATAATCTTCTATTTGAAGTGTTGAAAGATGCAATTGCATTAATGGTGTAATTTTTGTTCTATCAACGTTCCAAGGGCGAATATAACTTGCTGATTGTGCATGAAAATTTGGCCTTGTTTTTCTAGAAACGGATTTATCATATAAATTATCTGCCTGCTTAAAAAATTTATATAACGTGACAAAATAATTATGTCATTGAAAAAAATCAATTTAAGAATTAACAATTTAAAAATATACAAACTGCCATTTTTTTCAATTTTATTAAATAACTTCTTGTATTTGGTTAATTCTATTTTAAATAATAATAAAAATTGACGTTTTTTTTTTTTTCTTTTTCTTTTATATATATATATATTTATTTATTATATCTGATATTTATAATTTTTATTTTATTTTTATTTTTATTGGCGATATTTATAACTGCAAGCTCAGAAAAGAATGTAAGTTTGCTCGCAACCGCAAGAAAAAAAACGGAACTGAATTGCCGTTTAAATAAAGCCACTATTGAATTTTGGTAATACAATTCCCACGCTAAATAGTTGATTTTTAGATTGGCTTAGCTTTTTCAATTTTTCATTAAAAAATTCTAGCAATCGTGGAGTTTTATAATTGTTTAGCATAATTAACATATAAGCCACTTTCGGTTCAAGATCTTTGCAAGCGAGATGATTGATTATATCGTTATATGATCTTATCATTATAAGGTAGGTGAGGTATTATGACAAAGTTAATGTTATCGCTACAGTGCAAGTCTTAAATTAACAAATAGCGACCTCGCAATCAACCAATCAGAATGCGTCTACATGCAAGTCAGAAAAAGTTTTTATTTTTAGGAAATTAGGCCACATAATTGGTTTTCATATCCCGCCCGCATCAGTGAAAGCGGGATTTCATCATTATTCCTGGGACACCTGATTAAAATTTGCCGAGTGATTAACTATCCGATTCGATAAGGTTTTGATTTCGGCATGATTAGTATATACTGTAAATAAATATTCTTGTATTTCATAGTATACTATCTTATACATTTGAATGCTTGTCTAGTATGTTTGATGTGCTTAGTTTGTATGAAAAATTATGACAAAACTGTTTTTTATCAACGAATCGACATTGCACAAATAAATGGTTCGATTTGATCATAAATTTATAGACTTGTTTAAAATAATGTAACTCGAATTGATAAGCCTTCCAAGTTTTTTCGGCTGTTTTCTAACGGAAGTATCATATTTAACAGATTAAAATATAGATAGACTTATTAATAATAATCCCCATTATTAAGGTTTGCAGATATTAACAAAGAGCAGTGACGTATTACGCCAACTACCCAAAATTTATACCTGTATGACGTAAAAGAGTTAGACCTTCTAATGTTTGCATCTTTATATAAATAATATATATGCCGAAATCAAAACCTACCGGTAATCGTTAATCACTCGGCTAATTTTTAATCAGGTGTTCCGGGAATAATGAAAATAGTAGGCAAAAATACAATTCGTCGGTACTGTTCCTGATGTGATAGAAAAAAAATCGATACATACAGTACCTTTCCTGATATGATTCTTAAAAGATTATGTGCTTAGTTATATAAGGAGCCCATTAATTACAATTCTAAAATCTGCCATGTTTTTTTATTTTGTTTCTTTCATCCAATGACTTTTGATTGATTTATAACGTTGATCTTCTAATAATTTACTTTAACATTAATCCTTAAGATAATAAGTAAGGATATATTTAAATTTGAATATTGATAACTATAACTAGCGGTGATCAATAAATTTGCAGGATCAGGTGTAACGTCTTATGTAACAAAAACAAAGAAATTTTTAAAAAAATGCTAATTCTCAAGAATTCGCTTATGAAACCACCTTTGACATTCTAACAAAAAAAATTCCTTACTAACATATGCATATATATAACACCTTGTTTTTTTTTTTTTTATTTTATACAATATATTATCAGCAAGATTTTTATTGGTATAGATAGTTTGTAATGATTACATATGTGAGAGTACAACTAGCTATACATACAACTTTAGATTGTCTAATTTAAGTAGTTTGTCTGAAAGTTCTACACTAGCTACTATATCTAAAATTTATTTAAAAATTTCTTATTTAAACTTTTTGGCTATATACCTTTCTTATTTTGTTATCATTTATTACCTAAATTTATTTAACCTTATATTATTTCTATTTTCAAAAAATATCAACAGAGTTGATATAAGTCTATAAACTTTATGATTTGAAGCCTAGACCTATTTCAAGTACTTTTTCACTAACTTCCTAATCGATGAGTATTGTAATATCCAATTATACTACATTATATTCTAATCTAACTTGTATATATCCTTATTTGATATTCGTACAAACTCAGTTCTTACTATAGCTTTCTACTAGGTTAGTTATCTGAGTTTTCAGATATCATATGAAATTAGATCTTTTCAAATCTGATTACTACTTAAGTTAGTATTGCTGTTAATCATCTGTGTCTCCAGTAGGGTTGCAGGTATAGGATCATTAAGCATACCTTTAGGTATACTTTTGAGCCAAAAAACATGCTTCTGTCATATGATATAAATAGCTATACAGCAATTTGATTAGTTAAAATCAAATAGTCAAGAAAGTTTTAACATAAAAGGTATGTCAATTAAACTATTTTAATTCTAACTGAGACAGTTAATTAAAATTTTGATCAAATAAAGATTTGCTAAGTTAATAAGTTAAGTTAGTAATTTTAATAATAATCTATATATTAATATATAATAGCAGATAAAGCTAAAGATTTTTTATTGTCTTTTATCTGATTCATGTTTATCAAGGATACAGAAATTGTGATTTTATCATACACATAATTTACAAATTCTTATTACATAAATTCTGTGTTCCTGATATTCATCTAGATCTATATTTTGTAATAATTACTATATTATATATAAAAACTTTTCAATAAAATAATTTTTTTATCTAGCATCTTACTATGAAATTCCTATCTAATAGTTTTATTATTCAGCAAAGATAATAGTTTAAAATAGTTTAAACTATTATCTCTGTCTAATAATTTAAAATTTTAAAATCAGAAAATGATTAATTTATAAAATATGTAAACTTTTTTAATAATATAGTAAAAATATTCTGAAATTCAAAACTCTTTCTAATGATCACTCTGACCAAATTTGGAGCAAAAAGAAAACAGAAGAAAATATACAATTTCTATTAAAAACAAGTAGAAAAGCTACTAAGTAAAAGAAAGCAGAGAAGAAAAATACATATAACAAAATAGAAGAAAAGAAGAAAAGTCTGAAGAAACTTGAAATAATAAAGAAGTTTTGACTTTAGAACAGATAACAAAAATTTTTTTAAAAATTTTGAGGAATCAAACAAACTCTGAAACACAGATTATTTGATATAATACAAACATATGCAAACTAAGATAAACAAAATATGATATAGGAAAATCTACATATTATATGCTGAAGATTAGAAACAATACATGCAAAACCAAAACTAGATAACTAGGAAAATTTATTAGGAATTACCAAAAAAAGTCAAAATCATTTCAAAAAATAGAAGATAGAGTTAAAGAGTATGTGGAATAGAGCAAAAATAACAAGACTATAGAGGTAGTAACAAAAGAATATAGCAAAGAAATAATAGCTGAAGGAAGTGATGTAGTAATAGGTCTAGAAGACTATATAGACAAAATGATTGCAGAGATTTTAGAAGTAGAAAGTAATATAGTAACAGTAGCTAGAGAATGGAGGAAAATAATAGAAAGAGTAGCAATGACAGAAGAAATCAATAGAGTTAAATTAGTACTAAGACAAATAACTCAGAATATAATAGTAAGAAAAGATGAACTAACAGTATTTGAGATCAAGAGTAAATTAGATATAGTAATAATAAATCAAACAAAATTTCTGAAGATAGTTGAGAGCACAGAAGAAGTACAAGCTCTACCAGGAAGTTAACTTCTAGTGGAAAAAAGAAGCAAAGAAGATAACAACCTAATAGAAGATGTTAAAAAAATCCAAAACAAAGAAATTATTAAATCAAATCCAAATCCTGATTTGGATACTACAGAAGAATCAGAAGAGGATCTAATACTAGCAGAGTTTAACTCCTCTCTTGAAAAAAATATCTGAGTACCAAGTAAAGATAGGTGTGAAGAAAAAAAGATTATAAGAGCAAAAGTAATAGCTATAAAAGTACTCAGAAATAATACATGCTATAGAGAAAAGTCTTTAAGGTAGTTAATAGGAAAAAATATTCTTCTCAAAAAAATAGCTGAAAAATTTGAGCAAGGTAATTTGTAGTGTACTTTAATCTTTGACTATAAGAAAGGCTATGAAGAAGCTAAGAAGAAATTAAAAAACAAGAAAGAAGAGTATAAGCAAGCCAAACTAATTCGTGAAGAAAATCTAAAAGAGGATAAGGCTGCTCAATCTGCAGATAGTCAAGATATAGAGATTATCACTACAAATATTAAAGAAGTAAGAGAAGAACAGATAAAAGCAGAACTAGAAGAAGTGCTAACAAAAAGGAAAAAGAAGGTTATAATTACTCTAGAGCAACAAGAAGATATAAGTAATGAAAATATTAGAATTCAGCAAGATTCTAATAACTCAAATAAAAATAGAGAAGAAAATATAATAACAGTTTGGGATTTACCAAACTAGGCTAAAAGAACTCAGATTTTTGAGATAGTTTGATTTATAGGAAGAGTAGAATATATAGAGATGATTAAAAATACACAAGACAGAATACGAGCAGAAGTTAAATTTAAAGCAAGTATTTTTAATGAAAAGAAAAAGAACAAGACTTGATGTTTGCCTTTTGCAAACCAGATACTAGTAAGGGTAACAGCAAGTACTAATAATTCTGATTTATTTCATATAAGAAACAGGTTTAGCAAAAGACTCCTAGACTTATTAGAGAATATGAACGAAGTATTACTATAGAGACAAGTCAAAAAATCTGAAGCCAAGGTACTGCATATCTTTAAGAATGCTAATAGCAATAATATGAGTAGTATAACAGTATACTTCAAAAATCAAGAAGATATGATAAATATCTCTAAGTTCTCGATATACTACTATAACAACAAGCTGAGATGGGCAATCACAAGAGACCAAGAAGGAGAATTACTAAAAAACCAAAAATCTAAAGTCTCTAAAAAAAGTGAAATAGTCTCAAGAAGAAGTGAAAAAAGCTTAGAGAAGAGAAAAGAGATCGAACAAGAACAAGAAGGCAA